CCAGCCGGGCCCCCCTGCGCCGGACCATGTACTCAGCCCACAGGCCCCTGGTGCCCGCGTCCGGCGCGGCTTCCCGTGGCCTCGGAATGTTCGGTCAGTAGTTCCTGGAACTGTAGGGGTCAAGGTGTCGGGGTGCTAACTGTGGAGCTGCGGTGATGGGGTTATAGCAGGAGAATGGTAGAGACAGTAAAGGAATAACGAGGAAAGTTACAGAGCTCGGCTGTAGTGGTTAGTGACGGCGGGTCAAGTGGTTAGTGACGGCAGGTGGGAGTGTAGCGGAGTGATGGGCGTGGGGACTAGCTGGGGAAGCCGTGGAGTTCAGGCAATGGGGTGAAACAGGTCCGTTGTCATTGGAGGTGAGGGGTGCAGAGTAACTACCTTGGGAGCATGGATTAGAATTGAAGCTGCTGGCCCTAGGTGTGGGCTAGAGTGAGGGAAGGGGCTGCGGTTGAGTAGTGGGGCTAGGACAGGATTTGGGAAGTGAGCGAGACACTGCTCAGAACAGTGTTGGGCTGTAGTGTTTGCGGTGAGCTTTGCGAAGGGAGAGGGAGAGACCCAAAGACCCTGGAGGTAGTGCACTTGGGAGGAGTTCAGGAGGGGCAGGACCAAAGGACTGTTCCCTCATTGTCTGCTGGGCCCCTTCACCCAGCAGATGAGGAGGCACTGGTGAGAAAGATCTTTGTGAAGAGAGGGACAGGTTCAGGTCCCTGGGGGCTGTTATGGGGTTAGAGGGCTGAGAAGGCTTTTGTGTCCCCAAGGCCCCAGCATTTGGGGGTAGGGTCGTCATAGTGTCTTGAATCTTTTCCAGTGCTGGCCTCCGTGTTCCTCTCTGGTTGCCTTGATGTCTATTTTTTCTTTTGTCAGCCCTTCACAGAATCAGGTCTCTCGAGGCCAGTGCCCTCACAGAGGGCTCCCCTAGTCCAGGCTTTTTAAGGCATGGGGGGTGGTCACTCCAGGTCAGAGTGGTCTGGGTCAGGGGGAGGCTTGGAATGATGGAGACCAGGATTAGGGCGTTCCCCTCCTCCCTTCATCGTCTTCCCCTAGCTGGGGCCTCCGCTGCTGGTTCCACTTCCCCCAGGGAGCCAGCAGTGAGAGGGAAGCCCACTCCTAATCTCCGCCTGCCCCAGGAGTCCTGCCAGTCACCCAGCTCCTGGAGCTGAAGGTGGGACCTCTGGGACCGGCCCCTGGTGAGGGAAGTGCCTTCCTGTGTATATCCTCAAGGAAACACCTGGCACTCTTGCCTTCCCTGGGCAGAGACTTACAACAGTTCTCTCATTTGTCCCATTGTCTGCCTTTTCTTCAAAGGAGTTTACTACACCCTTCTCTCTTTCTGGGCTTGGAGGCTGTGCCATGTCCTAAAGATGAGCTTGGGGGTTTAGGTCGAGGGAGACTACGAGGCCTCTTCACAGGCAGTAGATTCACTTTGGGGGTAAGGGAAGAGATTCTGTAGCCTCCTGTGATTAGCCCGGGAAGGGCAGGTCTGGGGCCTGTGGTAGGAGGAAGGAGGCAGAGAGACAGACTCAAGACCCCATGCCCTGTGGGTAATAGAGGGAGGAGGAGAGGGAAGACAGGGCCATCTGCCTCAGGAAAGAGAAAAGGAGTGTGAGGCCAAGGTAAGGGACTATGTCAGATGGCAACATGGGTGCTGACAACATAGCATGGCTAGGGGAGGGTCTCCAGACCTTCTGAGGTCTTGGGGCCTTGGGAGTGTAGAATGGCAGTCGAACATGGCCTGGTTTGTGACAGGAGCCAGTCGTTTCTCTGGCCTGGTCCCTAGTGGCAGGGCTGGTGGAGGTGGGGGGAGGGAATGGGATGTGAGGACTCTTTCCCTTCCCTGCTTCTGTTTTCATTTTTATAAACCTAGAAACTTTTCAGGCAGGAGTTTTTTCTGAGTGATGACACATGCATGATGTCAAGAGGTTCAGGGCTAGGAGAAGGGAGTGTAAAGGAGGTGGAGCTACCTTGTTCATGGTAGAAAAAAGCTTGGGTTGAGGGTCAAGGCCGAGTTCTACCGCACAGCTCAGCTGGCTTCTTCCCACAGTGTGGACAAACGTCGAACCTCGCTCTGTCGCTGTGTTCCCCTGGCACTCCTTAGTCCCCTTCCTGGCCCCCAGCCAGCCAGACCCCTCTGTGCAGCCAAGTGAGGCCCAGCAACCTGCCAGCCACCCAGTGGCTTCCAACCAGAGCAAAGGTGAGGGATGAGGGGCTGTGGGAAGGCATGGGGACAGTGTTGAGGTGGCCCCAGAGCCCTCTGATCTTCCTCTCTGTCCCCAGAACCTGCTGAGTCGGCAGCTGTTGCTCATGAGCAGCCACCAGGTGGGACAGGGAATGCTGACCCTGGGAGGCCCCCTGGAGCCACATGCCCTGAGAGTCCAGGGCCTGGACCCCCACACACTTTGGGGGTGGTGGAACCTGGAAAAGGTCCCCCTCCCACCACTGAGGAAGAGGCCCCTGGCCCTCCAGGAGAACCCCGGCTGGACAGTGAGACAGAGAGTGACCATGATGATGCGTGAGTGCCCCAAGACTTGGGACTGGGGGGTGGGATGGCCAGAGACATGGTCCTCATTGTCCTTGCTGCTCCCACCACAGCTTCCTCTCCATCATGTCTCCTGAGATCCAGTTGCCTCTGCCACCTGGAAAACGCCGGACCCAGTCCCTCAGTGCCCTGCCCAAGGAACGAGACTCATCTTCGGAGAAGGATGGACGCAGCCCCAACAAGGTGCCTCATCCCCACCTATCTACAGATCATCTATGGATGCCCAAGCCTGTCTCCTTGGTCCTAACCATTCCACTTGGGCCTGTGTCTGCTGTAGCGGGAGAAGGACCATATCCGGCGGCCTATGAATGCCTTCATGATCTTCAGCAAGCGGCACCGGGCCCTGGTCCACCAGCGTCACCCCAACCAGGACAACAGGACCGTCAGCAAGATCCTGGGCGAGTGGTGGTATGCCCTGGGGCCCAAGGAGAAACAGAAGTACCACGACCTGGCCTTCCAGGTAACACCTCCTCCTCTTGGCTTCTCCCCAGCTTCCTCTGATGGGTGGGTGAGTTAAGGGTCCTGCCATCTCCTGCCAGGTGAAAGAGGCCCACTTTAAGGCCCACCCAGACTGGAAGTGGTGCAACAAGGACCGAAAGAAGTCCAGCTCAGAGGCCAAGCCCACAAGCCTGGGCCTGGCAGGAGGGCACAAGGAGACAAGGGAGCGGAGCATGTCGGAGACAGGCACTGCTGCTGCCCCTGGAGGTTAGTTAGCTCCTTGGTTCTCCTGCCCTACCACCTCCCTCCCTGAGAGTCTCTGTACCCCCTTGATTGCTCATCCCCTGCCCCAGAAGCTCCTCTGTGTCACTTTTTTTAAAAAAATACTTTTTAAATTGATTTTAGAGAGGAAGGGGGACCGGGGGGGGTGGTGGTAGAGAGAGGAACATTGATGTGTATCGAGCCCAAAACCCAGGCTTCTGCCCTGACCAGGAATTGAACCGGTGACCTTTTGGTGCATGGGAAGACGCTCAGCTGACTCAGCCACACCGGCCAGGGCTACCCTGTCACTTTTATTTGAGGACTCTTACCTATAAAGGAACTAGCATTTGTCTCATCTGAAGGATCCAGGAAGCTCTAGACAGATAAAATTTCCAAACAGCACTCTTATTATCAACTGCTGTTTACTGAGCATTTACTACATACCAGGCATCAAGGGGAATATAATCTCTAGGACTCAGAACCATACTCCATTTTCCAAATGAGTAAACTGAGGCCCAGAGAGGCAAAACCACTTGCTTGACATTACAGGAAACAGTAACTGGCAGAGCCAGAAGTTAAAGCCCAGTTTGGCTGGCTCCCAGGACCACAGTTGGAAGCCTCTCATTGATGCTTCAACTGAATACAGGTGTCAAGTGTGCCTGGCACTGTGTCGAGGTGCATTTCTGGAGCAATCCTGTGGGTCTGAGCTCACAACTCTTAGGGCATGGATGAAATGTGGTAACAGGCCTGTGGTTGTTAGCTGGCCAGAGCCACAGGAACCTGCCTCCAGGGTTTCTTACTCTCAGAAGGGCTGCCTCCTGAGGAACAATGGGCTGACTCCTTGCAGCCCCAGAGGGCAGGAATCAATGGAAAGGAGATGCTGGACTGGTGGGTGGCATCTCTTTTCTGCTTGGTTGCCCAGGAATTGCAGCTTGCTTTTGCCCAGTACCTAGAAATATTGTGGGTGGCTTGGCCAGTCCAGGTGCTGGTAAGAGGCTTCCTGACTCTGCAGTATTTCCCCTTCTTCCACTCTACAGTGTCCTCTGAGCTTCTGTCTGTCACAGCCCAGACACTTTTGAGCTCGGACCCCAAGGCTCCGGGGAGCAGCTCCTGTGGGGCAGAACGTCTGCACACAGTTGGGGGACCTGGTTCGGCCCGGCCGCGAGCCTTCTCCCACAGTGGGGTCCACAGCCTGGATGGCGGAGAAGTAGACAGCCAGGCACTACAGGAATTGACTCAGGTCTGGGGTACATGCCATGGGAGTGGGGAGGACAGGCAGGGAGGGCTGCCTGAGGCGACAGCCCCATCTGAACTCTCCCTGTACCTGCCCTGCAGATGGTGTCTGGCCCTTCATCCTATGCTGGCCCGAAGCCTTCCACACAATATGGGGCTCCAGGCCCCTTTGCGGCCCCTGGAGAGGGAGGTGCCCTGGCAGCCAGTGGGCGGCCTCCACTGCTGCCCACCCGAGCCTCCCGTTCCCAGCGTGCAGCCAGTGAGGACATGACCAGTGATGAGGAACGCATGGTTATCTGTGAGGAGGAAGGAGATGATGATGTCATTGGTGAGCAGTTGCAGGGACCCAGAATCCTGTCCAGGGGTCAGCAGGCTAAGGTTTGGATGGTGGGCAGAGATTGGATCCTTCCCTTCTACATTTATTTATGGTCACAGGCATGTTCAGTTCAGGCCCTACTGAGTAAGCCCAGCCCTACCCTTGGGAAGCCCCTGGTCAGACAGGCAACCAGGAGGACCCCAGCACAGCCAGGTCATTGGGCACAGTATTAGGTGCATGCTTGGGTAGGTGGGCACACCCCAGGCTGAGGACAATACTCACTGCTGGCTTGGGGCAGAGCTAAGGCCAGAGCCCAGCTTCTAGACTGTCCTGGCCTTATATTCGGTCCTTTGGCCAACACTGTTCTTTCTGCTTCCTCAGCTGACGATGGCTTCAGCACCACTGACATTGACCTCAAGTGCAAGGAGCGGGTAACCGACAGTGAGAGCGGAGATAGCTCTGGGGAAGACCCAGAGGGCAGCAAGGTAAGGGCTTAGGACTTGGTGCTGTCTGGTCCCACTCAATTCCAGGAGTGGGGATATCTTGTGTGTTGACAGAGGACCTGGAGAGGGAGGCTATTTGCCCCATGGGGAATTGTGTCACAGCCTGGATGAATCAAGGCCTTCAGGTGGCCTGGCTGCCCAACGGGACAGACAAGCAGGGTGTAGGTGTCCAGGCTCCCTGACAGAGTTGTGTCTCTTCTCCTTCCACCCAGAGCTATAGCCGGAAGGTGTTCTCGCCTGTGATTCGTTCTTCCTTCTCCCACTGCCGTCCGTCGCTGGACCCTGAGCCCCCAGGGCCCCCAGATCAACCTGCAGCCTTCAGCAAAGGCTATGGGCCCACCTCGTCCTCCTCGTCCCCGCCTACACCCTCCTCAGCGGCAGCAGCCACCTTCTCATTGGGCTCAGGGACCTTCAAGGCCCAGGAGTCAGGTCAGGGCAGCACAGCAGGCCCACTACGGCCCCCACCTCCTGGGGCTGGGGGCCCAGCAACACCTTCCAAGGCCACCCGCTTTCTCCCAACGGATCCTACCACCTTCCGGCGCAAGAGGCCTGAAAGTGTGGGGGGCTTGGAGCCACCTGGCCCTTCAGTTATTGCAGCACCTCCTGGCGGGGGAGGAAGTGTCCTGCAGACACTGGTCCTGCCTCCAAACAAAGAGGAACGGGAGGGCAGCGGAGCCCGCATGTCCTCAGCCCCAGCCCCATCGCTGGCCTTTGGGGCCCCAACAGCCCCGCTGTCCCGTCCAGCCGCCACCATGGTCACCAACGTAGTGCGGCCTGTCAGCAGCACTCCTGTGCCCATCGCCTCCAAGCCCTTCTCCACCTCTGGCCGGGTGGAAGCATCTCCAAATGACACAGCAGGTGCCAGGACTGAACCCATCACTGGGTCCCGGGCACCTGGGGGCTCTCCACTGGGCGTCAGTTTAGTGTATTCAGACAAGAAGTCAGCAACAGCCACCTCTCCAGCCCCACATCTGGTGGCTGGGCCCCTACTGGGTGCTGTGGGGAAGGCGCCTGCCACTGTCACCAACCTGCTGGTGGGCACCCCAGGCTATGGGGCCCCCGCACCCCCTGCTGTCCAGTTCATTGCCCAGGGGACCCCTGGCAGTGGGGCCACTACAGGCTCAGGAGCAGGTGCTGGGAGTGGTCCCAATGGGCCAGTGCCCCTGGGTATTTTGCAGCCAGGTGCCCTTGGCAAGGCTGGGGGAATCACCCAGGTGCAGTACATCCTGCCCACACTGCCCCAGCAGCTTCAAGTGGCGCCTGCCCCAGCACCAGCCCCTGGGACCAAGGCAGTGGCTCCCGGCGGCCCTGCACCCACCACCAGCATTCGTTTCACCCTCCCTCCGGGCACCTCCACCAACGGCAAAGTCCTGGCTGCCACTGCACCCACTCCTGGCATCCCCATCCTGCAGTCTGTACCCTCTGCCCCGCCCCCCAAAGGTGAGGCCTGGGCTGGGCAGCACAAGTAGAGGGGCCACAGGCCTTTTTAGCTCCCTTTAACCTCTTTTCTTGCCTCTTGCAGCCCAGTCGGTTTCTCCTGTGCAGGCCCCACCCCCAGGCGGCTCAGCCCAGCTGTTACCTGGGAAGGTACTAGTGCCCCTGGCCACTCCTAGCATGTCAGTTCGGGGTGGAGGGGCCGGCCAGCCGCTGCCCCTGGTGAGCCCGCCCTTCTCAGTACCTGTGCAGAATGGTGCCCAGCCACCCAGCAAGGTAAGGGCATCCTGGCTGTGGCCCCACCTGTCCCTCATTCTTTTCCTGCTGGGTGTTGCTCTCCATGTCCTAGGGTTTCTGTCTGCCTTGCCTTCAGTCTCTCTTTTTTCTCTTTTGTCTGTCTCTGGGACTGTCTTACCATCTTCTCAGTGTCTCTTTGCATCTTGAGTTTGGCCTCAGTGTGCAACTTGTTCCTTTTCTGTGTCCCCCACCTCTTTTAAAAAATTTTTTAGAAAAATATTTTTTAATTTTTAAAATTTTCTATTGGTTTTTATTTATCTTTGTCTTCTCCCCCACGTCTTGCTGTCCTCTTTCCCTTTGTTCCAATCCCAAGTTTTGTATTTCCTGTCTTGGCTGAGACCCACCCTTCTAGGACTTGGTCCTTCTCTGCCCCACTCTGGGTCCTCGACTCACTGCAGCCTGTGGGTGCTCTTGCCTGCAGATCATCCAGCTGACTCCAGTGCCTGTGAGCACACCCAGCGGCCTGGTGCCGCCCCTCAGCCCAGCCACAATCCCAGGTCCCACGTCGCAGCCTCAGAAGGTCCTGCTGCCCTCCTCCACCAGGTAATGGCAGTTGAACCCTCACCTGGAGGCAGTCCCAGGGAAGGGGGTGGATGGGGCCAGCTTGCTTCACTTCTCCCCCCTTTCCTCCTCTTGTGGCAGAATCACCTATGTGCAGTCAGCGGGCGGGCACACACTGCCTCTGGGCACCAGCTCAGCATCCAGCCAGGCTGGAACAGTCACCTCATATGGACCCACAAGTTCTGTAGCCCTAGGCTTCACCTCACTGGGGCCCAGCGGCCCTGCCTTCGTGCAGCCCTTGCTTTCAGGTGAGGGATGACCTGGCAGGCAGTGCTAGGGATCCAGGGTGGGGCTGAGGCAGCCTAGGCCCTAACACAGGCTCCCGCCTCTCCTCTGTTTCCCTCTCCGCAGGCCAGGCCCCACTACTGGCTCCTGGCCAGGTGGGCGTGTCACCTGTGCCCAGTCCCCAGTTGCCTCCCACCTGTGCAGCCCCTGGAGCTCCCGTCATCACAGCATTTTACCCTGGCAGCCCCGTACCCACCTCGTCAGCACCCCTGGCACAGCCATCCCAGGCCCCCCCAGGCCTGGTCTATACTGTGGCCACCAGCACCACCACCCCTACTGCTACAATCCTGCCCAAGGGCCCACCGGCCCCTCCCACTGCCACTGCCACCGCCACCCCAGCCCCTACCAGCCCTTTTCCTACTGCCACAGGTGGGTGTTCGGCCAGCCCAGGGTGGGGTGAGTTGGACCCAGGGAATGGGCTCCAATCAAACCTTGCTCAGCAAATGCTCTTCTCCCCACCAGCAGGCTCCATGACTTACAGTTTAGTGGCCCCCAAGGCCCAGAGGCCTACCCCTAAGGCCCCCCAGAAAGTGAAGGCAGCCATCGCCAGCATTCCTGTGGGCTCCTTTGAGGCAGGTGCCCCTGGGCGGCCTGGCCCTGCACCCCGGCAGCCCTTGGAGCCTAGCTCAGCTCGTGAACCTGCTGCCCCTGAGTCCGAGCTTGAGGGGCAGTCTACAACACCGGCCCCTCCACCTCCCCCAGAGACCTGGGCTCCCACTGCCCGGAGCAGCCCCACACCACCCCTGCCTGCTGAGGAGCGGAGCAGCACCAAGGGCCCTGAGACTATGGTGAGTGTCCAGCAGGCTTGCTGCAGCTAGGTTCTGTCTCTTGGCCCACCCTTCTTCCCTGCACATGTGTCTGAGCCACGCCCTTGTCCCTCCTGCTTGATTGTCACTGGGCCTTTTCCAAGATTATCTTGGGCAATCAGCACCTGTCTTTGTGTTTCTGGGTTTTACCCCAGCAAGTCTGAACCCAGTTTCCTCCATCTTCCTGCCATCCCCACCTCAGGCCAGCAAATTCCCCAGCTCATCTTCAGACTGGCGTGTCCCTGGGCTGGGCCTAGAGAGTCGTGGGGAGCCTCCCACCCCTCCCAGCCCGGCCCCAGCTCCAGCTCCAGCTCCAGCTCCAGCTCCAGCTCCAGCCCCTGGTAGCAGCAGTGGCGGTGGCAGCAGTGAGGGCAGTAGTGGCAGGGCAGCTGGGGATACCCCCGAGCGCAAAGAGGCAGCTGGTACTGGCAAGAAGGTGAAGGTGCGGCCCCCGCCCCTGAAGAAGACATTTGACTCTGTGGACAAGTGAGCATGGGCTGGGGTTCTGGTGGAGCCTGTGGGGTTGGTGGGAGAGTGGGTGGCTGCAGGCCGAGCAGGGGAGGTGACCCTGCCCGCTCTCCAGCAGGGTCCTATCAGAAGTAGACTTCGAAGAACGCTTTGCTGAGCTGCCGGAGTTTCGGCCTGAAGAGGTATTGCCCTCTCCCACCCTGCAGTCTCTGGCCACCTCGCCTCGGGCCATCCTGGGCTCCTATCGCAAGAAAAGGAAGAACTCCACTGGTAGGCAAGGGGACCCCCAGGGTTGGTGGGGGACAGACTGGGGCCACCTCCCCTGAGCCTGCTTCTTTTGACCAGACCTGGACTCCGCCCCTGAGGACCCCACATCTCCCAAGCGCAAGATGAGAAGACGTTCCAGCTGCAGCTCGGAGCCCAATACCCCCAAGAGTGCCAAGTGCGAGGGAGACATCTTCACCTTTGACCGCACAGGTGCTGGTGCCTTGGCCAGTGGAGCTGTGGAGGACACAGGGCCTGCAAGGGGGGTGGGGTCTCATGCCAGGGTTAGAGATGGGAGAGGTGGGTGGGTGTCTGAGAGGAAGGACAGTGGGTCAAGGGTGGGTTCTAGAGGCTAACAGGCCTCTAAACTGCCAAGTGACCTTGGCAGGTCCCCTTTCTGAATCCTGCTGTGGAATAGAATTCAGTGAGGGCTGGGTGGACACTCAGACAGTGGTGTGAAGGTAGGGTGGCCAGAGTTCTGCAGTAGCCTTGATCACACTCCCTGCCCTGTTCCCAGGTACAGAAGCCGAGGATGTGCTCGGGGAGCTGGAGTATGAGAAAGTGCCATACTCGTCACTGCGGCGCACCCTGGACCAGCGCCGGGCCCTGGTCATGCAGCTTTTCCAGGACCATGGCTTCTTCCCATCAGGTGAGCATGTCTTGGAGTCTTGGGGGGTTACTTGGAGGAGACTTGTCTGCTCATCTCATCCTCCCCTCCCCAACCCCCACCATCCTTCTGTCCCTAGCCCAAGCCACGGCAGCCTTCCAGGCCCGCTACGCAGACATCTTCCCCTCCAAGGTCTGTCTGCAGTTGAAGATCCGTGAGGTGCGCCAGAAGATCATGCAAGCGGCCACTCCAACGGAGCAGCCCCCTGGAGCCGAGGCCCCCCTCCCTGTACCGCCCCCCACTGGCACTGCTGCTGCCCCTGTCCCCACTCCCAGCCCTGCTGGGGGCCCTGACCCCACCTCACCTGGCTCGGACTCTGGCACGGCCCAGGCTGCCCCACCACTGCCTCCACCCCCAGAGCCAGGGCCAGGACAGCCGGCCTGGGAGGGGCCCTCCCAGCCCTCCCCCCC